AAGAAATTCAGTGGCTATGGATAAAAGATCAGACTTTAGACGAAGAAAATACACCCATGTATATCGAGTAGCATGATCAACAAACAAAGCAAAGTACTTATAGCCATGGCGAGAAGTAACTGGACTAGGTCCCCAAAGATCAGTATGGATAAGATGAAAGGGTTTAGTAATAACTGTGCTACTCGAAGGAAAAGAAATGCGAGTAGTCTTGGCCTCAACACAGTTTTGACAAGAAAAATCCGATACCCGATCACATCTATTGTTTGGACCAAATAACTGTTGACGAAACATGGCTACAAGTCTATTTGAGTTCGGATGACCCAATCGAGCATGCCACAAATGAAATTTCTGATCACTGAGACTCGAATAAACAGGAAATGAAGATACCCTATACACCGAAAGAGAGTCCGACACTGATTGAGACGGCAGCTGAGAGAGCTTGTCCAAAAAGAATATGCGACCAATCTTGATACCCCTCCCGAGCTCCCTCCCCGTCTTCATGTCCTGCACAACACAACCAGAGGGTGCAAAGGTAACCCGACAACCTTGCTCAGTAAGTTGTCCCACAGAAACAAGACTAGGAATCAACTTAGGAACATGAAACGTATCTGGTAAATGAACCGGAGAATCTGTAATTGAACCAATACCAGATATCTGAAGATTATCACCATTAGCCACTTGCAATGACATATTATGAACCGGACGCATATTCGTAATTGCAGAATGACTACTGGTCATATGATTAAAACATGCCGAATCAAGAATCCACTTCGGAATTTTACCTGTAACCTGAAGACTCGCAAATGCCGAAGTTATGGCCTTGTTAACCATGTGCTCCAAGGCCGCTGGAGTGACAAGCACTCCGTCTGAAGAAGCTGCTGGCGCCGCGGCATAGGCTGGACGAGAGCCACCATTGCGTCCTCGGCCACCAGTCGAGTGAGAGGAGCTGCTCCCACGACCACTAGTATTACCTTCATCCGCCATTCGCTCCTGCAACAGCTCACAATCAGAAATAATATGTCCGTGCTTTTTACAGTATACGCAGAAGTTTCGTTTCCGGCAAAATTTCTTTGTATGACCCTTGTCATGACAGTGATGACATTCTACTTCAGCTAATGGTCGGCGATAGGACTGCGAGCGGTAGGCCGCAAAGGCCAGCTGGTCACTTGACTCCTTGGAGAGTTCCCCACCTCCAGCACTAGGAGAAGAGCCTCCCGACAAAGGGAGAGGGCTGGGGCGAGCACCGCTAGGGGCAGCACTGAAGACAGCAGCGTCTCCACGTCCTGGACGCACATCAATCGCTGCCTGCGTCCGAATCCTAGTCTCTTCTCGAACCAAATCAGCAAGGACTCCCTCAAGCTTTAGGGAATCGCGGTTGAGCAAAGTCGCACGGAGGGATTCGAACTCCGGCCTAAGACGCATCAGGAACTGCAGGAGACGAATCTTGTTCTTCTCCGCCTGAATTTCAGCTGGTACTGGCTGGGTAAGAAGAGAGGCCGAGAGCAAGTCTTGCTCTGTCCAGATCAAGCGCGCCTCATTGAAGTAGGAAGCAACATCGAGTTCGCCCTGGTAGAGATTGGCGAGTGCGACTTCCAACTCGAACTGGCGGTTGGCGCTCGTCGAGGAATACGTCTCGGCCAGTGACTTCCACATCGCTGCTGCCGTTGGGAGAAGGCGCAGACCCAAAATAATACTCGGATCAACCGAGTTCAAGATCATAGATCGAACCTTGGCGTCCTGCTGCACCCAGCGCGAGACGGCCTGTTCGTCGGCTGGAGGAGAGATCGGCTTCTTGGAGGATCCATCGAGCAGCCTAGAAAATCCTTTGCCTTCAATAAAAACCCTGAACTGAAATTCCCATAGGGAATAATTCTTGGAGTTCAGCCTCGTATTAATCCGATCAGAATCCATAGCGGTGAGCTCTGATACCATGTTGATAAACAGAACGAACCAAATATCTAGAAACTGAATCGAAACGGAGACACAGATTTACGTGGTTTCCTTGATCAGTGTGATCAAGACTAGTCCACGACTGAAGCTCTCAATCTCGTATTACTTAGCTTCCAGGCAAGTTCAGGTGACAATATATATATATGGGTTTCTCTAACCCTAGCAGAGGTGGAGAAGGGATTTGGCCAGAGTTATCCTACATAACTAGGCCTATAATTACACCAAGTGTTCCTGGGCTTTTAGCCCATACACAAACATAAACTCATAACTTAACACTATTCGCCTCGTCCGGATGGCAGCACCACAACCCCGCGATCATCAATTGCTCCGCCTAGCCCCAATCGAACTCCTCATCGCCAGCCGCCAGTCTCTAGTCCACCGCTTCAACAATCCGACCCTTTCCGTACAAACCCCAAACCCATTCCACTAGCCTACCTTCCCCAGCTCCTGCTTTGGATCCACCGGCCTCCTCCCGCACACGATTTCGAGAGCCAGCACTCTGAAGCTGTAGACGCCTGATTCCTTGCTGGGCCTCCTTGTCGTGACGCACTTTTGGGCCAAATACCCCATCTTCCTTGCCAGAACCGTCGTCTACGAGCGCGATTTGTGGTCCACAAGCATCTAGAGCAACAATGTTGAATCCGTTGTTGCAGAGGTGGAGAAGCCCACGGCTGAAGCAGCTCGCGAGGCGCAGAGAGAGGATGAGTCTGCGGTGGTTAATTAAACATTTTATACTTTTCTTATTTTTTTTTATTTTTAAAAATTTACAGGTCACTAAGTTAACAGTACAGTCAGCAATCCCATTTGCTATCAGCAAAAATTTAACAGAGTTAACGGAGACTGACGGTCGGTGACTAATGGTGAAATGATTCGTAAAGTTAGTGGCGAATAAGAAAGAAAAAAAATTCGAGTGGCAAATGTGTAAGATTAATGAAATTTGAGTGACCAAACGTGTAATTTCACACAAATGTGTTTACTATAATTGGTTATGTTTCTTATCTTTGTCCGAAGAGACCATGGTTCAAATCTCATTACTGATGTATTTTTCTGTAAATAAGAAAATAACAAATGATTGTGAAGACGAATCTACCCTCCTACTTTCACTCTAGATGTAGAAAATTTGAAATGAGGTTTTAAATTTTTCTCATTTGACTTTTATTTATTGTGTAGATGTAGACTAGCAGCTACACTTAGGGATGGCAATGGGTCGGGTTGGGGCGGGTTTTGTCAAACCCAAACTCAAACCCATGTGTTTATCCGTCAAAAAAACCCGGGGTAAAACCCGCTGGGTTTGAAAAACTCAAACCCAACCCGCTGGGTATCCGCGGGTTCATGGGTACCCGTGGGTTTTTGTGGTAAAAAATTTACAATAACAAGTTTCTTTCAAAATATAAGTTTAACATCAATTTTCTCATACAAATTATTCATACAAAAAACAGCAATCTAGAGCATACAAGCAAACCACAAATGATCAATACAAATTGTTCAAAATTAAAGATAAACATCTATAAACAATAAGATTAATTGAAAGCTTCTTCCTCGTCAACTAAGTTTCTTCACTCTCCACTTCATAATATCAACTTCATTCTAAACAACTAGAAAGAACAAATTATACATGTCTCCACAAATATAAAGAATATTAGTTGTTTAAGGAAGATATATTATTTAGAATATTAAATATACCGGGAAAGTAATTATATGTGTGTGGGCGGATACCCATGGGGCGGGTTTACCTAAACCCAAACCCAACCCGACCCGATGAATAGTGTAGCGGGTTTAAACCCGAACCCGACCCAAAACCCGTCAACACGGATTTTACCCGCGTTGACCGGGTTGGGTCGGGTGGATACCCGTGGGTTCGGGTTTTGTTGCCGTCCCTAGCTACACTTAGCACATTGATCATCAAAGCAGCTACACATTGCACAATAATATATGATTTCTACTAGGGGTGCAAGTTTGGTTTGTGTGTTGCGGGTAACCCACATACTGCGCCGAACCACACACTTTTTGGATAAACATATCCATAATTTATTGATAGCGAGTTGAGTGATGTTAGCAAAATATTTATTTTTTTGGTTAGTGGTTAACCATTACCCACAACGGTTAATTGCAAAACCCTCAATAACCACACTAATTATATTAACTTAATAATAATTTCGTGAAAAGTGGAAGTCCAAAAATTAAAGTAACCACCAAAATTGAATACACACTTAATTTATAAAAAAAAAACAAGTCAATACGTAGTCCTTGTGGGAGATACTTTTATCAAATAAGCAATGGTCGTATGAGATATTTTTATTTTATAAAACAAAACAAAACAAAGTCAATAAAAATAGTTGAATAAATTCACTTATTCATTAAATGGGGGACTAATCGACTTATAGTTTATTAAACACATCAGTATTTTTTGTATGTTTTTTTATTTTTGTATGAGAAGAAACACAACATCAATATTTAATTAGCATATTGCTATCTTTAATAATGAAATTTTTATGGGTATCCACAATTCACATTGTACAATACTAACCACTACACACTATGGTGCGGGTTGTGGGTAGTATAATTCTCGATTTATCTTTGTGGTTAACCACAAAATATGAGGAAGGTAACCACACACGTCTTATTTTCCACCCCAACTTTCTACCTGTTCTCATGGGATGATCTACAAGAGCCCTGAAAATTCAAGGTTGATTATTGATCTTCAAGCATACAAGGAATATCAAACAAACTACAAAAATCAATTCTAGAACTAAATAAGTCTGGAAGGAATACATAATTAACAAAATGAAGTTGGTATTGTTGTTGTTCATATATTTGCATATATGCCTAAAAATGGGATGGGATACAGTCACAACCCCCAAAAGGGGTTGTGAGAGAGATTGACCACCCAATTCCTAACCATTAGATATGCTCTCTCTCCAGTCTCTTTCTTCTTTTTTCTAATAGATGGTTAAGATTAAAGGAAGAGTCTTTTTGGAATGAAAAAAAAATTACCACACAGGATACTTTCTTATTTTCTATATAATCTATTTTCATAAAAAAATAACTCCCCCCTAACACACGTCCTCTCTCCCCTCTCTTCCCTCTCTCTTTCCTCTCCTCAAAACCCTAGCCGCCTCCTCCCCCTCCGTCTCTCCATGCCACCGCCCCCTCCATCTCTCCCTCCTCCCACCACTATCGTAGCCCTCCCGCCGCAGCCGTTGCGCCCTCCACCTCCCACCACTGCCGCGACATCACGCTCTCCCCGTCGCCTCCCTCCACCCCCTAACACTGTCATCTTTCTCCCGTCATCCTTTGACACCGCCCTCATTCACTGTCGTCGTCGTCGTAGAGGTAACGACCTCTCTCCTGCCTTCTCCTTTCCTCATCCCTTAATTTTTTTTTTAAGATTTGGGATTTTCCAGATTCCAAATCTGATTTTCTTATATTAATTTCTAGTGGTACTAACTTTTGTCTAGTGGTACGCTACCATTGGTAGTCGTAGCGTACCACTACTCACTGGTAGCAGCATCACTACTTACTGGTAGTGGTACCACGCTACCACTACCACTGGTACCGCTACTAGTGGTAGTGGTAGCGTACCACAACCACTGGTACCGTACCACTAGCGCACTACCGGAGTGGTTTTTTTGTAGATCGTCGAAGCGAGTATGATTGGAGGATTTCATCGAGAAAAAGTCTTTCGGTCGGAGAAAGTTTGGCAATCAGAGCGAAGAGTCTGCTGAAAAATGAAGAGAGAGATAGAGAGAGATATAATTGTAATAATTTTAGGATTGAAATTAAAAAAAAGAATTTAGAAGAAATTGCCCTTGGATGTGAAACTCACATCCCACATAAGGGAAGTGACACTATCCCATCCCACAAAATAATATCATTGAAATTGCAACAGCCCCACATTTTGCTCTGCCAGAAGAAAAGGAATTTAGAAGAATAATTAAGTAAAATCAAGGAGGAAAGTATATATAGGGGTTGTTTGGAAGTTGCGATAGTTTTGTTGAGATTGTCATTATGCATGTATTGTTTACAATGCATCGTTTTTTTGTATTTTTAGCAGAAACAATACATGTATTGTTTCTGTGATGTGACAGAAACTATCACTCATGTTGAGTGATTGTTATATCTCAACTTTTAGTTGTGATTGTTGAGATAGTTGAGTTGAGATTGTTTTGTCTCAGCTTTTAGCTGATGCGACATACACAATCACACATACCAAATGTTGTATTCTACAATGCATCAAATTCGACAATACATGTATAATATTATACATGCATTATCAACAATACATCTATTTAACAATAGCAACTTCCAAACGACCCCATAATATAACACAACGTAACTGACACTAAACAAATATTTTCTTATAATGCTTGCACATGCTTATGTCAAGGCTTTCTTGGAGCTTACCAAAGAAATCAAAATCAATAGTGTTCCTCGGGAAGTCATTCGCTTGAGACTCTTTCCTTTCTCTCTCATTAGTGACACTAAGTTGTGGTTGAGCAAACATCAATATCATTCAATCACTTCTTTGGCAGATTTATGTGAAAGATTCGTCACAAGATGCTTCTCACTTTTTAAGACTGCTCTCATGCACAGTGAGATTACCACATTTCAAAAGGAAGAAGATGAGACGCTCATTGAGGTCTGGGAAAGATTCACCTATATGTTACTCAGGTGTCCGCACCATGGACTTGCTCGCCAATGTAGTCAAAATCGCGCTTTAAATTTAAAAACTTACGCTTTTACACTTTCAAGTCATCAAAAACGCTTCTATGTAGAATCACACTTTTTAGTTACAATTATAGTCAAAATCTACGCCTTAAAGCTTAAAAGCTTACGTTTTTACGCTTCTAGGTCACCAAATTGTTTATATATAGAATCGCGATTTTGACTGCATAGTTCCTCGCTGTCTTTAAGTGGAGTCATTCTATAATGCGCTTACAAGAGAGTCCAATCATCTTATAGATGCGGCTGGGGGAGGAGCATTGAGGAACAAAGAGGTCGATCAAATGCATAGATTGATAGAAGAAATGACACTCAATAGTTATGACTAGGGTGAAGGAAGAAGAGGGAAATAGCTAAACAAAGAGATGTGCCTCTAGTTTAAGATCCATTGCCTTTCTGAGCCCAGCTTCAAGAGCCTACAAAGAAGATGGACCTCATTACTTCTATAGTGAAGGAAATTCCAAACAAATTATGAAGTGTGATTGGTGTGGTGAAAACTCTCATAATTTGGAAGAATGTCAAGCAATGCTTGAAGCATCAGTGCATTATGAGTTGACAAACTTCATTGAAAACCAAGGGTAGAAAACCCTTATAGTTCAACCTATATTCCCCGCTGAAGAGACCATCCAAACTTTCTTTGGCCTCTCCATCGTATAGAAACCCTCCAGGTTTTCAAGGAAAATATTCAAATCAAGAACCATTTTCAAAGATTATCCCAACAATGGTAACAAACTTCAATTCAGACTACTCCTAATCACGATAAATATAAACCGATGGAAGGAAGAATGACTATAGTGAAAGATATGGTGGGTCAATTTGTGTCAACTCCTTGAAAGAGGTTTGATTCAATCGATCAGTTTCATAAGAATTCAAGTAGAATTCTTCGCTTTGAATGTCGGTCAAAGAAACCAACAAGCTTTACTTCATAACCTTGAAGCTCATGTGGGTAAAATTTCCCAAGATTTGACTACAAGACCATAAGGAAATTTTTTATGTACTACATAATTCAACCCTAAGTATGGTTGTCACACAATCACCTTAAGGAGTGGTCGTGCAACTGAAGATACAATACCTAAGTTGGTTACATGTATGACCTTGTTTGTTGGATATAACAAATGAAATCAACAGAGTTGAAGGACCTCATTATGAGGAAGAAAAATCCCATGAAGTTATGAAAGACAATAATAGGTAAAACATTAAGAAGGTGAGGCTAAGAAGAACCATGTACCAAAAGTACATTCATACTTCCTAAGTTGCCATCCCACTAAGAGCTTTCTAGAGTGACTTAAACCACGATTGTGGTCAATGGAAGGATTTTCTCAAGCAACTGAGGTTAACCATTCCTTTCTTGGATGTAGTGGTGAAGATTCACAAGTATGCAAAATTTCTAAAGGAGATACTAGCCAGTAAGCAAAAAAATTGAAGAAATAGCCTTGGTTTCTTTGAGCTTGGTCTTACTCTACTCTTACTATCAAAGGGCTACCCTCCGATTAAGAGACTCGGAGTTTTCATTATAGCATGCACATTTGGTGATGAGACATTATACAACCCACTTACTTATCCAGGCTCCAGTATAAATATCATGCCTACCAAGATTTATTAGAAGCTTAGGGTCAAACCTCGGTTACCCACTACTAGTGGTACCAGTGGAAGTCGCCAAGAATGTGCTAGTCAAGTGTGACCGCTATGTCTATCTTTCAAAATTCTTTGTACTCGACATGGAGGAGGACGTCCGGAACCTATTGCATGGTAGACCCTTCCTAAAAACTTCAAATACCATAATTAATATTGAATCAAGCCAAATCATGTAAAGGTATGGGAAGGATTTCATTTGCTATACCATGACTGATGTTCATCAATTTACATATCTTCTTGGTAACGTCGACGCACTACCAAAGATAAAAAAAAGTTGTTACTTCTCTTTCTCCATCCCAACATGGTCTTGGTCAAGTCAATATGGTTTCTAAGGTCGATCATACTAAAAAAGGTAAGGCTACGTCAATGGGCTTTACAATGTTGAGTGATACTTCAAGATAGAAGTTGTTTCAAAGAAAAAAGAAGGTATTCTTAAGATAAGTGATAAGAAGGTGGTGTTTGATGATCCTACAAAAAAGAATCTAAGGAATTTCTTAAGGGCTTAAATGGGACCGATATCAAGAAGAAGCGACTCAATCAATTCAAGTTTGAAGAATGGTATCCCAAAAAAGCAAAGAGAAGTTAAAGAGTTCCAAATCGGTCAAACTTGTACCGATTATTGAAGAAAAGTCTGAGGAGAGTTTTGAGCCAGTAACGGGTTATGTGTTTTAACTTGCATCGAGTGGAAAATCTCTCAAGGACCATACTCCCAAGTTGAGTCTTGAGTTTGCTTCTCAATAGGGACCTTCCAACTGCCTTCATGGTTGGCCCATTGGGTTGCATCATAAGGGTTCACACAACAAAGGACCAAGAGAGTTTGGGAAAGTTCTTTTTGCTAAGCTTCCCAAAGATGTAAGAGTGTGACAAAAGACCTTAAGGGCGCACTCGTTGAGAGGTACCCTAACATTCAGTTTTCATTTTCTTACTCTTCTCAATAACAGACTTGCATGATTGAGTTAATTTAAGGAATTTTTCTAGTTTAAAGTAGTGAATGAGCCTTTGACATGCCAAGATATGAATGAGTGCTTGTTTTGAGATTTTAAGTTGTTTGAGAAATGCTTGCATATGTTTTGTTATTGAAAATTTGCATTTAAGCCTGGAAGAGGAGATCGTGGGCTCTAAAGGGAAGATTGCGACCACGATCTCACGTTCTTGTCTTGTGATCTTTCATCTTGTTCGACAGATCTAGGACTTTACATGAGTTCATGACCATGAACTTTTGATAAATGACCTTGATCTAGTCCTCAATCACAAAAAGAAGAATCATGGCCGAGAACTCACTTTCACCCATTTCCCCCATCTTTCTACCTCCGAAACCTCAATTTTACCTCTCATTTCCCCACAACTCATAACCCAACACCCCGGAACTCCATTTTCCTCATTTCATTTCATTTTTAGTAACTAAACACCAAATGTGCCTAGGTAAGAATTCCACTTGGTCTTGTTATATTATGTGGAATGTTTACCCTGGTTTGGTGTGAAATGTGGTTGAATGAGATTGAGTTTTTAGCTACCTTATAGCTCAGGCATGTCTTGGCTAATACATTATGAACCAAGAGTGTATGCTTATGATTTTTAATGTTAGATAGTTTGAATATGCGCTCACCAAGTGTATGCTTATGATATTCAATGGGTAATATTGATGCCTAATGGTTCGTTCGACAGTGGTTTTTGGATTTATCTATTGCGTAGGAGATTTGATAGAGGCAAAGAAATTTTTCGAGGACAGAGCTCAAACGCTCATCCTCTTGAGACTTCAACTACTTCGTCTCCCGTCATTATCAAAGATGCAATCGGACTTCGAGACAACACCGCAAAGATCCCCAACCCAATCTAGCATTAGAAGCTCAAAAACCTCAACAACTAGAGCACCAAGGACAAGGAAATTGAAAAAGAGGACCAATGGTGGTGATGCCTCCAATTCGCCACGTATTTTTGGATGCAATTCCAGTAGAGCACACTAACCATTACTCATATTTTGAGAGCTACCAATTGGAGAGAGTGAATCCCTAAATTGGGTCCTTTTCGACTAGTTGGGAGGGGAGAAAACCATTAGAGTAATGTTCAACAAGTCGGAGTGGATCAATCTTCTTGATATCCACGAGAGGGTTTACAAGGTCCTCTTAATAGAGTTTCTAAGCACCGTGACGGTCTAATACTTCAAGGGTAAAGCATACAAGTATCTAAACATCGAGTTCATATTGGGAGGAAGAGCAACGCATATGTCAATTAGGGAATTTACGAGGACACTAAATATCTACCCTCAGGAGTTTGTGGAGTCTTCTTTGAGCTTCTCTCATTAAATTCAGAGCTTAAGTTCCTGTTTTGGAAAATTTTATGAGTTAGAGCTCAAGGTGCTAGGAGCCAAGGGATGAAGAATTGGGAGATGTTTTTCAAGAGGGCACAAAGGAAAGCCAAGGTAA